GAGCCGGCGCGCGGGCGGGCCGCTGCCGAAGGGACCCTGTACCCGGGCCGCGGCGCCGCGAACCCCAGCTCCGCACTCGCGGCCGGGGGCGTCTTTCTCGATCGAGCCCATTCCCAGCCCAGCTCTTCTCCTGCGCGCACCGCTCCCTGCCCCTTCTCCCCCACTTGCTTCCTGGTTCATTTCCTGCGCCCACAGACGCTCCGTTCCCAAACGCTCTGTGCCGGGCCCTCTCCCTGGCACGCAGAAGTGTCTTCCCGACAAACCCCAAAGTCCCCTCCCCCCAGCCACTGTTTGCGTCCCCCTCCCCGCGCTCCTCCGGGCCCGGTCACCTGAGTTTAAGAACCTGTTCTTCCGCGCTGGCCCGAGTCCCTATACCGTTCCCGGGCCCTGGTCGGGCCCAGGCGGCCCTCTCGCCCACCACTGGGGAAGTTCGGGTGCTGTCCAGCCAAGTTCGCAGTGGGGGGCAAAGGGACAGCTGAGGGCGGCCAGGGCGGCCGGGCCGGTCGAGATGGCAGGGTCTTCCTGGGCACAGAGGCTCTTCCCAGCATGTTAGCTGGCACCGCTACAGCACCACTGACCTTGAGTCAGGTGAGCCCGGCCCCGTGGCACTTGGGGAAATCGACCGATTTTTAGTACTAGTTCTGTCAAGTTTGTGTTTTTACCATTTTCTGTTGGGGCCGAAGGCTGATGAGAGGTGGCTTGGAAGGGTACATCTCGTTTAGCCAGATAAACGTGCCGTTTACATGGGTAGGCCCATGCCCTCTGTTAACTGTAACCCTGGCAAGACTCTGCTGTGAAAGTTAACAATTCTTTTGCCTCACTGTATAAGCCTTCCTCCTAATCGATCAGATTAGTTTATCAAATGTTCTCAGAAGACACAAATTTTATTCCACCCGCTTCTGCCCCAGCACACATCCCAATCCAGAGCTTCCATGTATGAGAACAGTTTCAGCCTTAAGCAATTTGTGAAGAAAGTGCACAGCTTCTTCAACCTCCACCTCTCTTCACCTGACCCCAGCCCTGCCCTTCCCAGGCATGCAGAGCCTGGAGCATCCCACCTCTGGGAGCTTCCAAAATGATCTTTCCTTCTCTCCTCCCGTCTCCAGACAAAAGGGCTGTCATCTCCGAAAGTGTTCTGGCAACTGCTTCATATCTCTCTGGGAAAGCTTCATACCCAAGGGGCCACAGATGGGACAGACAGTACCTCAGCCCTGAGAAGGGAATTTCTGATACTTCCAATGTGAAATTTCTCCATTAGTGGCTGGAAGGAGATATTGGTGGTCAAGGGAGTTCTTTCCAGGCAGCAGATTTTGGGCTCTTCCATATAAAACATATACACGATGCCCTAGAAATTTGACTGCTCCTGAGGAACTACTGGAAGGGTTGGGAACCCCTCTCCCTCCCCACCCTGGCACCTCAACATTTTAGGGTAGGTTGTTCCCCAAACTGAGTCACCGGATTAAAACCCTACCTAGTTGCCTTGCTTCCTAATTGAAAGAGGAACAGTGTTCCTTCCTGCCCTCTTGTGACAGAACAGAACAGCAAGCCCTCTGCTTTTTAAAATACATCTTTAAATACAGATCATTTGATACAGTTTATTTGGTCTGGAGTTACAGTAGCTAATTACTTTTTCAGGTAAAGAGTATTCTTTCCTAATTACTATTTAGCTAACATGCATTATTCCTGTTACCCTCATTCTTACCAGGAGAGCTCTCTCAGAGGCAGGGCAGTATGAGCGTCTTGAGGAGTTTGGGGAGGTCGGTCAGTAGTCTCGTTCAGGCCTTTAGGGGAGGCAGAGGTGGCGGGCACGTAGCCTGGTCCTCAGTGCCCTCACAGTTGGTGGGAACCATGCCTGCTACCCCAGTGATAACGTAACACAGCAGAGGCAGGCATTGGTGCAGTCACTCCCTGAGGATGGGGTGTTTGGAATTCGTGGGCAGTACCACTCTGGTAGGGTCCTTATCCCCACTATTAATTTCCCAAGAAGAGAGGATGGCCTGAGCCAGCAGGTGGGGTGGGGGTGGGGAAGCGCGCAGGTTCTAAGGCCTCATTCAAAGTTATCATTGCTCCCTGTGATGATGGCCTTCTAAGGCTTCTTCTGCCTGCCAACAAAAAAAAAAAAAAAAAAAACCCACAAAAGAACTGACTTCTTGACTTGGCATTTGAGCCCCACACACTCATGGACCCATTTTTTTTTTCTCCACACACACTCTGCAGAGTGCCTGCTGCAGGAAATGTTTTTCCTTCCTCTCCGAATGTTGAAATTTGTCCTAGTTCTTCTAGTTTTAATTCTTGTGTGACCTCAGTAAAGCCTTACCTGTTCCAGCCTGTTAGAAGTCATCCTTCTTCTTTTTTTTTCTAATTAGTTTATGTTGCTGCTTTATTTGTTTTAAAAGATTTATTTAGGCCCTCCCTGGTGGCACAGTGTGTTAAAGTGCAGCACTGTGAAGCTAGCAGCAGCCGCTTCAGTGCAAGTTCAACCCCTGTCCCGATGTGACCCACAAGGCTCAGCAGACCTCTCCTGTCTCAACCGCTGCTCCCCTCAGCAGTTTATGTCGTCCATCTGCCTGTTCTGCTCCCCACTCTGTCTCTGGTGAATCCTCTCATCACCCCTGCAACTCTGACCTGTACCCCTGCAACTCAGTTCTCTATGCATAACTAATCAATAAATCTTTTTAAGAGAGATTTATTCATTTGTGTATACAAGATCTGGAGTCCAGGTCAGGGGTGTGTGGGGGTGAGAGGATTCACCAGAGACACTAGGCAGGCACAGGCAGATTGGTTGAAATACACTGCTGGGTGGGTCAGGAGAGGTCTGCCACACCACGTGGGTGACCTCCCTGGTCAGGGATCGAACTGGTGCTGCAATGGCTGCAGATAGCTTCACAGTGCTGTGAGAAGTCACCCTCTTTACCAGAGGTGGCTTGCCACCTCTCCTTGATCTCACACTGCTTCCTAGAATGAACTGTTCAGTGCATGTTCTTCTGTGGCATGTTTTGTGAGGACTGGGTCTTAAACATCCTTGTATTGCTTGTAGCATCTAGTGTGGTGTCTGGTACACAGTAGGCACTCAAAAGATACTTCAGAATAAATTATTCAAGTCCACCATTCAGTGGTGCGGTGAAGCACGAGGTTAATGAGAGCTGCATCCAGGAACCCTGGAGAGGGTTTGGGGGTGCTGGTGGCCGTAGCTGGACCTCGTGAGGGACTGTGAAGATCTTGATGTAGAAAGGGGATACTCAGGCCTGCAGAGTGACCTGAGCAAAGGCCACGGGTAAGGATAATTTGATGATGCATTTTCCTCCAGCAGACATTTACTTTGCAAGGAGAGAGAAAAAATGCCCTTTTTTGGAGATTTCACAGGGGAAGGAGCTGTTACCCGTTCAAGGCCAGTGCCAGCCAGGGCGTGGACATGGAGAGAGCACTTCTGAAAAGGGGGGAAGAACAGCGCAGAATTTCCTCTGCCGATAGGATGAGTAGAGAAGGTGTGGATAGGAGCAGCACTGGTTAAGGAAGAGTTGGGGTGCCCAGCCTGTGCCTTGTAGGAGACTATAGATCAGACACTTGTGGTGGTTTGATCACTTTACCCCTGTGGCTCAGCTGAGCTGTCATGGCCTGGAACCCAGCTTTCACAGACCCTCAGATGGAGAATGCTCTCTTCGCCATGTTTTTGATCTGTATCGTTTTGATTTTGTTGTTTTGGGGGTGCTTTCCTGTTTTCTCGCTGCCCCTCTACTGTGGCACAGCTGTAGTATATTGAAATGATCCGATTTTACTTCCCGCCCACATTCTCCGCGCCTCCGGGCTAGGGACTGTGGAATGGTGGCGGGCAGCTGGACAGCATCTCCAGGGGACGGGTGTCTAATCAGAAGTGCCAGGCCATTGTTGGCAAGTGATGGGGACAATGCAGATACGTCCTGGAGGAGAGAGCCTGGATCAGAGTGCCTGCTCCGGGCTTAGCGGGGGTCTGACGCTAGTGCATGGTGGGAGTCTGGAGCCTGTTCTCCCTGGGCTGCCACCGAGGTTGTCTCTGCTCTCTCCGCAGCGGGAGCCCAGCATTGACCTGCTGGAAGCCTTCGTGGAGCACTGGAAGGGCATCACACACTACTACATCGAGAGCACAGGTGGGCCAGGGCTCCCTGGCCTCTTGGAGGCAGTGGGAGAAGATGGGTGAGGTCCCCGTGCAGCTCAGAGACCCAGGCCAAGGAAAGGTGACATGCACTGCCCAGGAGTTCAGAGTGGGGCTCATCCCACTCTGACCTTTTAGGAGAGATTGGGGGGTGGGAGCTCCCACTGGCCTGACTTTGCAAGGCAGAGGTTGAATCCCACCCTCCTCCAACTTCCAGCTAGGCAGAACATCCAGACCTTCCGTCCTCAAACGCCCATGCCAGGGCTTACTGATTAAAGGAAAAGAAAATGAGCAAATTTCTTTCTCCTGAGCCAACTCATTTCTATAGAAATCAGGTGGGAGAAGGAAAAGCAAAGCGTATTATGTGCCCGGTCCTTTTCCCTCAGCTGACACCCAGCAAGACAAAGGCTTGGGTCATCTGGGCCCCAGGAGGATGTGACTGAGGGGCAGTCTGATAGGCCACTGTGTCGTCACATTGTAGGTATTGGTGGGTGCTCACTGGTTGCCAGGTAACCCTGCCCTGCATCCCTAGCTCTCCATCTCCTGGAATTCAGATGGGGGCGTGATCCAGCCTACACCAATCCTTTCCTTCCTGAGCCATTCCAAGAAATTAAAAAGCATTCAGAACACAGAAGGACACAGATCTGTCCATCATGGTTTAGACTGGACCATCCTGGGAGGGCTCGACCATGTAGGGGGCAGTGTGTTAGCAATGCTAGAGTCTGTCCATTAGATGCCAATAGCACGTCCTCCCCACCACGACAGTCTGAAATGTTTCTCCAGAATAGGCCAGCTGTCCCCAGGGGCGTGAAATTACCCCCAGTTTAAAACGACTCCTTTAAATCTCAGATTTTTTCTTTTTTTGCAGATATCATTGATATTTAACATTATATTAGTTGCAGGTATACAGATACTAATTCAGCCTATGCACGTGTTGAGAAATAATCAGCACAGCAAGTCTAGCTAACACCCGCCACCATCCATAGTCCTGTTTTTTTCTTATGATGAGAACGTACAAGAGTTACTCTCTTAGCAACTTGCAAATCCACAATACAGTATTGTCAACTGTAGTCACCATGCTGTACCTTACGTCCCCAGGACTTACTATAGAGCTGGAAGTTTGTACCTTTCAGGTCTGAAGCTGTCTTGACAGAGCCCCAGTCACCAGAGTGTAGGAAGACCCAAACCTGAGTCAAGTCCACCTGGGGCCTCCCTGGGGCCCAATTCATCATCCAGAATGCTCCTTAGACCAAGGTGCTGCCTCGCACTAGAGTCTATGCTTTGCAGAAAAGCTAGGGGGTGCCCAAGGCCAGCAGCAAGGTGTCCGACGAACTTTCTGAAAACACTCCCTGCCAGGCCTCTAGGTGAGCACCACTAAGCAGCTTGTCTGCCAGGACCCTGGCGTGCTGGTGCGGGTTTGAGTCAGAACCCATGGTTTTCCACAGATTTTTTTTTTAACCTGCTTTGTAAAAAAAAAAAAAAAAAAAGTATTGCCTCCCTGAATGCAAAAAGGATACAACATGCCCTACGAGGTTATGTCAAGAAGCTGCCGAAAATAGCTTCTGAATTCTCTGCCAGAGAACCTCGAGTCCATGGCTTCTCCCGCAGGCCCAGAGTTGACCAGCAGCCCCCGCATGTATCTTTCTGTAGGCGCGGGGGACTGGAGAGAAGACGAGGCTGCTTCCCTCTGGTATAGTGCTGGGGCTTGCTCCCGCCTGTCAGCGGGCCTTCTCCTGGGAAGGCCTTCTATCTTCTTACAGGTAGAGGCATCCACTGTAAACTTCACTGCCTCTGGCCTTTGCTTGAAGCAACTCTTAACCTGGTCCCCTCCAGGTTGCCCTTGATCTCCCCCACCACTCCCAGGGCCCCCCTTTCACCCCTTCCCCTTGTTTTTGCTCCATCAGATGAAAACACCCCAGCCAAGAAAACAGATATTCCCTGGAGGCTGAAGCAGATGCTGGACATCCTGGTGTATGAAGAGAGGCAGCAGGCGGCGGCCAGTGAAGCCGGGCCCTGTCTGGAGTACCTGCTGCAGCACAAGATTCTCGAGACCCTGTGCACACTGGGCAAGGCCGAGGTGGGCCACCCCCGAGGGCCCGAGACCCTTCTGCCTGGGCAGGCCCTTGGGTTCCAGGCTCTTCTCACGGTGCTCCTCCAGGCCTGACGCTGGGAGCAGGGGTCCTCGCAGTGTGGCCCCCGGCCCTGTCACCCAGACCACCTCCCCAAGATGCAGGCCCTCAGTTACTTGCTTTGGTGGCATGTTTGGTGCCAGACAGACACGCGGCTGGGGAGAGGTGGGGTACTCAGGGGGGCCCACGTAGCATGTTCAGTATTGACAAGGTTATATGCAAAATAAAGCAGCAGCAGGGAGCTGGTTTCAATAAAAGTGCCGAGGGAAGGAGGTTGTGGCGAAGGTGCCCTCTGAGTGGTGCTGCAGGAGGAGGTGCACTCACCCACGGCCCTGTACCCTGTAGGGAGGAGAGGTGGGGGTGGGGGGCCTGCTTCTCCTCCCGACAGACTCCTCTGCCTGCCTGCCCTCCAGTACCCCCCAGGCATGCGGCAGCAGGTGTTCCAGTTCTTCAGCAAAGTGCTGGCTCAGGTACAGCACCCGCTCCTGCACTACCTCCACGTCCACAGGCCTGTGCAGGTAGGCGCCAAGAAGCCAGGGCTGTCTGGGGGTGGGGGAGGGGGCCTCTACCCTGCCACCCCACTCTTCTCTGTTGCTATCCTGCACCCCTTCCAGAAACTTCTCCGACTTGGTGGGACAGTTCCTGGATCCCTCACAGAAAAGGAGGAGGTACAGTTTACCACTGTCCTCTGCTCCAAAATCCAGCAGGACCCAGACCTGCTCACCTACATCCTGGAGGTGAGTTCCTCTACTGGGAACTGGGGGGTTGACAGGGGCACACCCCAGGGCATCTGCTTCACCAGCTCCAGGCCAAAGCCCTGACAGCCAGCACATCTGCTTTTCCAAGGGGGCCTGTGGGGATTGCTCACGCCACCTGGCCTCACCTGGCCTCCTTTGCAGGGTAAAAAGATGGTCAGGAGGAAGAAGGTGTCCAGAGAACCCAGTGTCCTGCCCAGAGAACCCAGTGTCCTGCCCAGAGAAGCAGCCAGCATCCAGGACAAGGACCACCCCCACAGCCAGGCTCCAGATGGGGCTCCCCATGGGGCTTGGGCCTTGACCACCCAGCTGCCTGCAGAGACGGAAGAGCCAGATGGAGGAATGGGAGAGAGCAGCCTGATCATCTCCCTGATTGGGTTGTGCAAGAGCAAGGTGTTGCTGGCTGCCAACACCAAGTGGGCAGGCGGGGGGTGGGGTGGGGGTGGCAAGCTGCTGGGAGGGCTGTGGGGGTCTGAGTGCGTATCCCTGAAGTTGCACCTCTGTCCCCCTAGAAAGGTCGGGTGGCCCTGAAGGCCCAGGAGAACCTGCTGCTGCTGGTGAGGGTGGCTTCCCAGGCAGCGGCCACCTACCTGGTACAGCACAGCCCTTGCTGCCCTGCGATCGTTGGGCACCTTTGCCAGCTGTACCAGTCCATACCTGCCTTCCTGGACCCCGCAGACATTGCCACATTAGAGGGCATCAGCTGGAGGTAGGTGCTTGGCCAGGAAAGGCTGGGGTACAGCGTCAGTGGCTGGAAGGAAGCCCTGCCTGTGGGGTGCTGGCTCCCTTTGTTTTCCAGGCGGGATGGGCCTCCTTCCCTAGTCAGAGCCCGTCCCCAGGGGCCTCCTCACCTCCAGGGAGCATCATCTTTGCTATCTGTCCCTGTAGAGCAGAGGTCTAGGACAGAGAGAGAAAGGACCCGGCTTCCGGAACATACCTGAGGAAGGCTTTCTTGCTCTCCCTTCAGGTTGCCCAGTGCCCCATCTGACAAGGCTTCCTTCCCCGGCAAGGAGGCCTTGGCTGCTTTCCTGGGCTGGTTTGATTACTGCGACCACCTGGTCACGGAGGCTCACACGGTGAGCGGGCATGGGCGCCCCTTCTCATGCCACCTCCACTCCGAGGGCCAGTGGCTCTCCCGGGCTGGGCAGGGTCCTGGATTGGCTGGGCCCTTCTGCCTGCCAAGCACTCTGCGGGGACATAGCCACTTCTCCGCGGAGGGTCGCCGACGAAGGCAGACCAAGTTTACGACGTGCTCTTTGGCGTCCAGGTGGTTGCAGATGCCCTGGCCAAGGCTGTGACTGAGAAGTTATTTGTGGAGGTTCTGCAGCCCCAGCTACTGCACGTGTAAGTGTATGTCTGGTTCCTGGCCATGGCCTGCCGGCCCACCCATCACGCCCCTTCCTGTCCCTCAGGCCAGGGACCTCCTCGGCCGGAGGCCCGTGAGTCTATGGACTGGTCAGTTAATGTTTGCCAGGCTGTCCCGCCCCGCACCACACACACGCTCCCACCTGATGGGCTAACAAAGCCCTGGCATCCTGGGACTCTGGGATCTCCCCCGCCTGGGGGCCGGTTCAGTGCCCTCTCCTCCTTGTAGGTCTGAGCAGAGCATCCTGACTTCCACCGCCCTGCTCACAGCCTTGCTGCGCCAGCTGCGCTCCCCCGGGCTACTGCGAGAAGCTGTGTCTTTCCTCCTGGACACCGACCAGCCCCTGGCCGTGCTGGGGGACGGCCCCCACACTCTGTGCACTCACCTCATCAGGCACTGTGACCACCTCTCTGATGAGGTGAGGTGCCCCCTGCCCCCAAAAGGGATTGTCTGAGGCTTCTTCCCATTTTCACGAGCTTCCCAGAAGGTTCACTTTGAGGCCTCTGACCCCTCTCCACCCACCCACACACACATGAGACCCCGATTGGTAGGCAGACTGCTTTTGTCACACGGCAGTTGTCTGTGATCGTGTGCTGGTGACAGCACTTTGTGGCAGACCTCTTTAACACAGCAGCCCCCACCCCCGACCTGCTTCAGTTAACCGAGTCCACTGGAGTCCAAAAATATTCCGTACCATAAGGTATTTTAAGAGAGGGCGGTCGCAGTCTTCGGATTTTTATTATAGTTAGAATTGTTCTGTTTTATTCTTAGCGTTGGAGTTCATCTTTTACTCTGCCTTGTTTTTTGAGTAAACTTTATCATAGGTGGAGTGTGGGATGGGAAATATGTGATATAGTTCCAGTTTTAGGCATCAGGGGGAGCCTTGGACACAGCCCCCCCAGGCTTAAGGGGGAACTACTGTACTCATTTGACTTGTTTGAGGCTGCCAGCCCTCTGTGTGATAGGTGAGGTCCAGGTTCGATTTTTCAGTCATAGGAAGAGGCAGAGAGAAGCCGGCTGGCTTGCCTGGTATCGCACATCAAATTACTAGGGAATGGGGAACTGCCAAACTTCTGGGTTCCCACACCAACAACCACCTACTCCCCCTAGAACCTGTCTCCATAGTCTCGGCTAGGGAAAATGACCCATGTTCTAGGGAGACTTCTGTCTGGGTGACCTGACTCTTAACCCCCTAAAGGCGGGTGGGGAAGGGACATCCTGCTGACGGCCTCTTGCCCCAGATCAGCATCGCCACACTGCGGCTGTTTGAGGAGCTGCTCCAGAAGCCCCAGGAGCAGATCATCCACAGTCTTGTCCTGTGCCACCTTGAGGGCCGCCCCTACGTGGCCCGGTGCTCCCAGGAGCCCGAGAGCTATGAGGATAACCTGTAAGTAAAACCCGGCGTCTCTGGGAGGCCCAGGCGGTTCGGCACCCACCCGGGTCCTCAGCACCCTGCGCTTCGGTCACTGGGCTGCTTGCCTTCCCGCCACAGAGACCTGGAGGAAGACCCCTACTTCACCGACGGCTTCCCCGACTCCAGCTTTCAGCCTTCTGCAAAGCCTCCCCCAGCCCCTGCCACCAACTCAGACGGCAAAACTGCAGTGACAGAGATTGTCAACAGGTAGGTGCAGGTCGGGAAGTCTGCACCACCTGAGCTTTGTTCCACGTCAGCCAAGCCCCGCCCAGTGCAGCCCGGAGGGAGCGTGCCCCCAGGGCTGGAGAAGGAGCAGGGGCCAGCAGGGCAGCCCAGACGGGGGCCCCCCCACACCTCGGGTCCTGTCTCACAGTTTCCTCTGCCTGGTTCCTGAGGAAGCCAAGACCTCCGCCTTCCTGGAGGAGACCGGATATGACACGTACGTCCATGATGCGTACGGGCTGGTGAGTGTCGAAGCCCCTGCCGCATCCACACGTGGCCCCTCAAACCTAGGGTTGATGGGTCTAGAGCTGTCCCTCCGTGGTCGCTGGCCCAGGGTGCTCCATGCTCCCAGCAAGAGTCCCCGGCCAGCCTTCCAGTGGGGGGCCCCTACCGCCTCACTCCGCCCCGCCTGTCTCAGTTCCAGGAATGCAACTCCCGAGTCGCGCCTTGGGGCTGGCCTTCAGGTCCCACCCCGCTGGACCCCCATGAGCCTGAGCGGCCGTTCTTTGAGGGTCACTTCCTCCGGATGCTGTTTGATCGCATGTCCCGGATTTTGGAGCAGGTAGCCAGCAGGGCTGGGCCTTGGAGCCAGGGTGAGGGTCTCAGAAGAGCTCCAGGCTGTGCCTCTGGAGACCTCAGGGGCAGCAGGGCCGGCCATGGGGGTCCAGCGTCTTCAATTCCTCAGCTCCACAACAGCCCCCACCCCCCACCCTTCCCCAGTTGGGAAGCCCCGTCTCGCCTCTGTTCCACACGCCTTCACATGTTCTGGCCCTCAGCCTCAGGGGATCCATGACACACACACATCACGTGAGCCTCCCACCCCCGCACACGTTCACACTGGCCAGGCGCCTTGCTGGGGGAGTGCAGAAATGCTCACCATCCCCTGCCAACCCTTGGCTTGTCCACTGTGTTCCCTGCAGCCATACAGCCTGAACCTGCAAGTGACCTCAGTCCTGTCCCGGCTAGCCCTCTTCCCCCACCCGCACATCCACGAGTACCTCCTGGATCCCTACATCAGCCTGGCTCCTGGCTGCAGGAGCCTGTTCTCTGTGCTGGTCAGGGTGAGGATACCTGGGCCCAAGAGAGTGTGCCAGCGGTGGGGAGGGGCCGGGAGGGCGGGAGGGGAGCAAGCATTACTGAAGCTGGGGGCCCCCTGCCAGCATCAGGGAAAAGCACAGGCACATGGTGGGGAGCCCACGGTCCCTGCTATGGAGCCACTTGTCCCCCCTCAGTCCTCCTTGTTCCCACTCTAGGTGATTGGGGACTTGATGCAGAGAATTCAGAGGGTACCCCAGTTCCCAGGCAAACTACTCCTGGTGCGCAAGCAGCTGATGGGTCAGGTTCCCGGGGAGCAGTAAGTAGCTGAGGAGAGCAGGTGCCTGAGGGTGGGCCCTGGACTGGGAAGAAGGGTGCTTTAGGGCTTGGGGGCTGAGGAGGGCCTGCTGTTAGGTTGCCTCTCCTGGGATTGCCCACAGGGTATCAAACTGGGCACACTCCTGATCGCTCTGCTGTCTCCCTCAGGCTGGACCACCAGACCCTCCTCCAGGGCGTGGTAGTACTTGAGGAGTTCTGCAAGGAGCTGGCTGCCATTGCTTTCGTCAAGTTCCCCCCACATAGTCCTCCCCTGAGCTTCTCCCCACTCCCAGAAGGGCATGTCTGAGCCAGGAGCATGATGGGAGGGGAGACTTCTGTCCACACCTCCTCCCGCCCAGCTCTGCCACCATCATTCTCCGCCTGGGGCGGGGGCTTGGCTCCATCTCCTTTACACCCCAGGGTGTGCCTCGGTGGAAGCCTGGGCTTCAGCGCCCAGGTTAGCTCAAGACAGCCTCGGCCTGTTGACCACGCCAGACTTGGCTTTAGGGAGTGGGGTGCTGAGGTGCCAGATGCCAAGGAGCAAGAGGTGGCCTCCCAGGCAGCTTGGCGTCCTCGGAACTTTCTCGGGGAAGCTGGGTGACAGCCAGGTGAGCACTGGGACCCAGCCCCTCACATGTTCTGTGTCTACTCTGGTGGCCATTCGTTGCCAGGGCCAAGACTGTGACTCAGTTCTAGGCACACGGGGGTAATCAAAAAGCCCGAGTTGGTCATGACCATACACCCAAGGGAGCCCCGTCATGTCGCACTAGGTACAACAGATGCTGCGGAGACTTGACGTTTTTTCCTCCTGCCTTCTGGGCCTAACCATGGGAAGGGGCTGCAGACAGTAGGGAAAGCCCCCTCTTCCTGCTCGGCCCTCCTGGAGACTGTTGCAAAATTTCCAACTGCCTCATGGCAAATGCCCAAAGCATGTTCCGCGCCCAGGCGGGGGCAGAGCTAATGAGAGCCTTGATGCAACTGTAGCCAGGGCGGGAGAGGGCCCGGGGAGTTGGGGGGCTGGGTGCCAGGCTCCAACTCCAGCTGGTTTCTCCCTGGCGCCTCTGAACCCGTCTCAGCAGGTCCACCACACCTGGGCAGAGGGGCCCACAGACAGCAAGAGGCAGGTGAGGCCTTACTCTCGGTGCAGTGAGACACTCTTTTCTAAGAGACTTGAGAGTCGAGGTGGGGCCAGAATACCCACCTGACTGTCCACCCCCAGGGCCGGTGGGAGGGGTGGCGGTCCGGGCAGCCAGTCGTGCTGTCCTCCCTGCATGCCCTCTGTGGCTGGGGCTGCCGCCCCGCCCGGCCTGAATGTGTCTCGACCTGCAGGAACACCGAGGCAGCGCCAGGCATTACCTCACAGGACTGCAGTGGCTGGCTTTGCTCCTGGGCAAGGAGGAGCAGGCCAGAGCCCCTTGTGCTTCCTTTTCCTGCCCATGCCGCTTCGAGAAGCTGGCCGCAGGTTGCCAAGAGGTGACATGAAAGAGGAGGAAACTCAATAACCTCTACCTCTCTTGCATTCCTCCACCTTGGGGAGGGCTGTGCTGCAGCTCCAAGAGACGCGGGCATGTACGCACGCGCCCACTGGGTGTGGGCGGGGGGTGGGGGGCTTGGGCCTAGACTCTCGGACTCGGAAAATGCCCACGAACCCGGGAGTGGGACGTTGCCCCCATCAACACACTTGGCACTCGCACGGCGTCCTCCCAGACAGCTTGGCAATAAACAGTGTGGTTGTGCGGACACAGCCGCCCTCTTCTTCTCCACCCTTTGCGTCCTTCTGCCCAGGGCTCCGCTGCTAATTTGGACCAGTCTTCCTTGCCTCGGTAGACAGATTCCTTGTACAGCTCTGGAGCTAAGTGGGCGAGGTGAGGGAGGGTGGGGAGGAGGGCTCTGCAGCGCACACCTGATGTGCCTCTGCGCCTGCCAGGAAGCAGCCTCCCTCTTGGCCAGGCAGTGCTACTGTGGGGCTCCCTACGCCCGCCCGAGCGCCAGCTGCCCCGGCACCGCAAGGGCCTGGGCCATCTGGAAGCATCTGTACGCAAGTCGCCTTTTTTAAGTGTTCCTGTTAGGGGTTGTGTGACTACTGGAGTGGTAAACAGTGGGCCTGGTATTTTTAAAAACGTGTCCTTAAATGTGTCTTCTGCACCTCTGAGGGGGGTGACCAGGAACATCCCAAGGCAGGGCTGGAGCTGGCTGATGAGTGGCTCTCAACTCAGCGATGTCAGAATCGCGGGTGGCTTTCTGAAATAGCCGTGCCCCGGCGCCCACCCTTCACCAGTTCACTCGGAATCTCTGGGGTGGTCCCTGAGTTTTGCAAGCTCTCCAGGTGACCGATAGACCCCCAGGGTTGAACACTAGTAGGCCAAATGATGGGAGCCGAGCTCATCACCCTTGGGCAGAGGTATGGACTTGTCCCTCAGACACAGAAGTGAGCCACAGTGAAAGGCCTCTGGAAGGCATCAGTCCTCAGAGGGGACGAGATGATTCCTACAGGGTCCCGGACCGTGTAGGCCAGAAAGGCAGGGCAGCAAGAGAGGCCGCAAGGGCCTGAGCTTATACTGATCCCTCGGCAGCCAAGCCCACACGATGCTTTCCTGCTCGGTATCTGAAATCCGTATGTTAGATGCAGTGAGGAGCATGTGAAACGTTTTCTCGGTCCACTGGCTTCCCCCTCACATTTTAATCAAGTCCTTTTTAAAAAGTAATCCCTACCATGATTCAGCTGAACTAAAGGGCAGGGAAGAAAAGATTTGGGGTCTGTCTGGCTGGGGTTGAGCTGTGAAAAGGCAGAGGCCGGCAGACCTGGAAAACACATGCGGCTCAGAGACAGGCGCCCAAGGAGGAAGACGGCAGCATTATAGCTTTGTAGCTCCTCGCCCACTGAAGCTGCTCCCCTGTTCTCACAGCTCCCACCTTGCCGGCGAGATCAGGAGAGCCCCAGAGAGGCTGTGGTGGACAGCAGGGAGCCAGCCCTCAGGTCGGTGCTGGTGGGAGCAGCACCACTGTGCGCTCCATGGCAGCCTCCGCCCCACACAGACAGTAAGCAGGAAGGCTAGGTAAGCAACACCTATTTACTCATCAAGGACATGCTTCCTTAGCACCCCTCCCTGTGTTTTTAGTGCCTCAGGAGCCAGAGTCAGCCTTCACCAAGGTGGGCAAGGAAAGTGATGGGTGGATGCCAGGTTCAGAAAGAAAGTCCTCACCACCCCTTAGGGAGTAGCAACTCATTGCACGCCAGGGCCATAGCCACTGGGTCACTGAGCCCTGGACTTCTGCTTGGTCAAAGGCATTGTCCCTTTTAGTGCAAGAGGGATCCACTCCATGCATGGGGAGATGGAGGCCCCAGAGAACCAGAACTGCCCTGCGCCCAGTGCAGCCAGACCCCAGACTGCCTGCCTCCCAGGCTACGTGGGGGAGCACAGATGCCCTGTTCCATGCCCAACGATGGCACCTTCCTATCTGTTGATGGGGACCACAGAGGATTCCTGAAGCCTCTGTAGGAGTTGGATTTGTAGGTCTTCCTCCATAACCTTCCACCAAGAGAAGTTCTCGCCCTGAACCTTTGGGGGCTCATTTTGGATACCTGGGTTCCGAAAAGCCACTGTCACCAGCACATTCAGGCAAATGCCATCTGATTGGTCTCTGCCCAAGTGCTGCAGTCCAAGCAACCCCTTGGTCTCCACAGTCAAGTGGTGCAGGGTCAGACACTCCTGCAGCAGCCGCAGGACAGCCATCTTGATGCCACCCCTCTGCTCCATGGGAGTGAAGCCACAGGCAGTGATGGGCAAGTGAGGCCTCCCCACTGTACCCACTAACACCCACACCGTTTGGACACTGGTGAAGGTGGCCACAAGCCGCTGGCAGACTAGACTGCAGGGAAGCTCTTGGGGCAGAATGAGGGGGTGCCTGGCTTGCTGCTTGTACTGAGCGGCGAGCTCTACCAGGTGCAGAATGTCATGGGCTCGCAATGGAGTCGGTAGAGAGGTCCTCGGGTACCAGGCAGCCTGCAGGGACTCTGCATCCGCCTCCTTGGAAGTCTTGAGCGTTCCACCTAGGGAGAGTTGAGGGGGATGGAGCAGGAGAATGAGACACGCATTATAGTCCTGGGGGTCAGGGGTGAGTCTAGCTCAGGCTGGAATCTGGTAGGCCCAGGCTTGTAGCAGCCGGCATAGGAGATTCATCTCACCCAAGGACTAGCTGAAGGAAAGGTGGCAATGCTCCCCACCCCAGGCCCGGTACACACACTGCCCCCAGGTGAGCCATACCTGTGGGGCGAGCCAGGAACACAAAGCGGATCCAGGAGGGGCCCCGCTCCTCCACAGACAGCAAGGTCAGGGGCTCACAGTGCAGCCCAGCCTCCTCCTTGACCTCGCGCTGCAGGGCCTTAATGATGGTCTCCCCAGGCTCCATTCTCCCCGCAGGTAGGTACCATGACCCCTGGCACTCCTTCTTGGCCTCCTGGATCAGCAGCACCTCATCCTGAGTGGGGAGAGAGGATCCTCACCCCACCACAGCTGGGCTAGGAGCCCTGGAACCTGGTTCTATCTCAAATACAGTCTCCCCTTCCTGGTGGACACCCTCAAATGGCTGAGTCCTCCAGAAGCTGGCTGTGTGGGACAGGGCCACGGCTGTCTCTGCAGTCCATCCCTCTCTGGATTCAGACTTCCATTTCAGAAAGGGGCTAAAAGTGCCGCAAGCTGCTTCAGGGGCTGGGGTGGGCCCCCCAGTGTGAGCCATCACATGGCCTGCACTATCTGGTGTCTTTATATGATGTCATTGTGTATCTGGTGCCCCTTCTGGTTTACCAGCTGTGTGTGGTCTCTTCACACTGGGCTCTAGGTTTTGAAATATGCCTTCCCCCTACCACCAAGCCCCTCTTTTTAATTCCTTCCTCCAGCATAGGGGATCCACACCCAAAAGTGCATCACACAGGGGCTCCTAAGTGCCAGTACCGTACAGGAGGTTCAGGGGCGGTCTCTGAAGCACTGGGCAGATCTTTAGGGCCCAGGCGGAGGCAGGCAGTGTGCTAGACTCCAGAGAAAGACAGCCCTCCCCTCAGGAATGAAGGCCTAGCGGGCTAAACAGGCTTCCCCGCCTCTAAGTCTCCTGCTCAGTTTATCTGGCCAATCTCAGGGCCGGCCGCACACGGCTCAGGTGCTAGTGTCAGTGAGAGTGCTTTGCAAAACTGGGAAGCACCACACACGAGGAAGCGTGGCTGGTGCCGGTAGGTCCTCTGTCTCCACTGGGGTTGGCTGCGCTCCCGAGGGCCGGGCGGTGGGCCCGACGGGCGGACGCTCACCTGCTCGTTGAGGAACACCGCCAGCACCACGTAGCAGACGTTCTGCCGCAGGCGCACCGGCGCCAGCGGCTCCCCGGCCGGCTCGGAGTCACAGCTCTGCACGCACAGCCCCTGGCCCCCCAGCACAGCGGTCAGCGCCCCCGCCAGGCCTTCCGAGGCCATCGGGCCCCCAGGGAAGCGAGGGGTCGGGCCCCCGAAGACCGCGCCGAGGTGGGTGGGGTGGGACGTGTGTGAGCTTGGGGTCCGTCGCCTTCGACCCCTCCCGCAGGGGACTAGGGCCAAGCGCGCGCGCGATCGCGGAAGCGCCGGCGGAACCCTGCCCGCGGATAGGCTGCGCGTCAGCACGGCCTGCCTGGATTGGCTGTCCCTCGGCGCCGGGGGGCGGAGCCATGCCGTCAGGGGCGGAGCTCCCCGCCCCGCAGCGGCTGACCCCCGCCCCGCTTTGCCTTCTGCATCAATTCCGCCTCCCCCAGCGCACCGCGCGACTCCGGCGGCCAAACGCGACAATTCCTCACGCGCGCGCTTATCCACATCACTGCCAGCAGTGACGTCATCCTGCCCGCAGACTGCCGAGCCACGGTGGCCAGCGTCGGTGTCGTCACAACCCCCATGACGTCCTGAAGGTTCGGCCCTCCCCCGTTGGGACCCACTGTTGAGTTTTTGTTGTAAACACGCCACTGCGTTGTCTGAAATGATCGCTTTGAACATTTCACTTCATTCTAACACCTTTCCTCCCGGAAATGTACGGACTGTCACAGGGCCAGGTGGGCAGGAGCACCTGCCTTGGAGGAGATGCTCCTCTAGTTGGAGTAGTGGGCCCAGATATATGAGAGTCAAAAGCGGTATAAGCCTAGTGCTGAATGACTGGTTTTGGGAGGGGCTCAGAGGAGGGGAGAGGCGGGGTTTGGGGAGAAGGCTGGGATGGCCTGGAGTGGGTGGCCATGGGAGGAGGGGATTTGGACCCAGAGGGCCTGGGCCAGCTGGCCAGCCCTCTTCTGTGCCCACCTCTGTCCTCTGCCTTTCCATACAGCTTCAGGGACTTTTTTGGAGACTGTGACCTGTAAGGTCCTGCGCCATCTTTGTGGCTTCCTCATGCCCCACTCTTAGGACCTGGCACAGGTCTTAAGAAAAGTGGGGTGAGCATGCGTTGTTCTGGCATTCTCCTGCTCCTCTCCCAAGCTGACCTTTCCTCTTTAGAGCTTTCTTTTCAATGTCCTTTCAGGACAGGAGGGCAGGGCCAGCTGGACAGAAACTGAAGCAAGCCAAACTTGGGCTCCTCACCCACAGTGAGGGCTCTTCTTTCTCTTGCCTTCCTGCTGGCTTTGTGCACCTCTTTTGGGGGGACAGTGGCTTGGTGGAGCAGATGAAGCATTGGACTTGGAGACAGACACTCAGCCACTGCTCACTAGCTGGCCTGGGTCGGTGTGATTCTCAGTGTCCACATCTGCAGAGTAGACTTAGAACAGTCCTCCTGCCCAAAGTTGTGGGAAGGTGAGATATGATGGGAAGAGCTCTATGTACTGTCCAGAGTGGGCCCCCATAATTAGACAGCCCCCACCCCTCTAGGGTTGACCCTCCTGGCACAGCACTATTACCACACAAAGACCTGGCACTGTGGATGTGGCTACAGGGTCACCAGGGGACTGGACTATCAGGAGTCCCAGCCACCTGACCACAGACCCTTCCCACACAGTGATACCTCTAGGTGGAACCTCCTGGAAGCAGGGCCCTATGGTAGTCATGAGGTGTCCCCAGTGGGTCCACTGTCTCTTGGGGCATTTGGTGAACACGGTCACCTGGGTCCTCTCGAAAACCTGAGGAACTGAACTCAGGACCCCAGGACTTCAGATTGACTTGTCAAGCCATCTGCTGTGTGTGTGTGTGTGTGTGTGTGTGTTTATCCCTCAATTTTCCCACCTGTGAAGTGGGGACAGGGTTGATCCCAGACTCCTTTTTGCCTCCCAGGGATGATTTGAGAGGGGATGAGGTCACGTCTGCACTGGGCTTGGAGCGCCGCAGAGGCAGCCGGAGATAAACACCAGACAGCCTAACTGCCTGGAAGGGCAAGGACTACAGCAAACCGCGGCTCCACTCCCCAGCTCGCTGGAAGGAGGGCTCTTGTGCCGACAGGGCCCAAGCGAAAGGCACAGGGGGGAGGGGGAACCCGTGGAGCAGGTGGAGAGCCCCTCATACACTGTGAAGGTCACAGACGCAGGCCCTCTGGTGCACCCAGTCCTTCCAGGTGCTGAAGGAGAAGAAAGACTTGTTTGAGGCATTGGGCGTAAGAGAGCACATGTCAGAGACGAAACAAAGACAAGACAAAAGCTGAGGGGACGACAGGGGCTGCACTAGAAACCTCCAGAAATAAATACAGCTCCATCAGCACCCACGGGCTGATGGCCCGGCCTCCTGCACAGTGGACAGGAGTGGCCCAGCTGGCAGAACATGTAGGCAGCACACACTGCTGTGCACCAGAGAGGAGCTGAGCCAGCCATTTCGGGGCATGTGGGCACGTGTGCAGGAAGGCCATGGCAGGCAGCCCCGATGGGCTGGCTGGCAGGGTGGGGCAAGAGTGTCTCCTCTTAGTCATTTACAGAGCAGGCAAGCCCGGTCCCTAGATAAGTGGGAAGAATGAGGAGGGCAGGACTGGCTGTCTTGAACTCTGCCACTGGCTTGTGTAGTGACACAGCTGTGTCTAGGCCATCTGTAATGGCCATGCAGGCATTGGGGGGCGGGGGGTCCCAAAACAAAAAAAAAAAAAAAAAAAAAGAGCATTGATGGAAGACTAATGAAATCCCCATAAAGTCTGCTGCTGAGTTTACACTGTCAGATCAGTGTCATGGTTTGATCACTGTGCCATGGTTATGTAAGAAGGAAACATGAGAGGAAGCTGGGTGAAGGGTAATTGGGAACTTTCTGTACTATCTTTGTGACTCAACTGCAAATCTGGAATCATTTCAGAAGTAAGCCTAAAAAGTATACTTTGTGAGGAAAAAAAAAGGGTGGTGCTAGATCCACACCCCGAGGTCATTCCAGCTTTGGTGATTTGGCCAGAGAAAGGGCTGGGGCAGCCACGACTATGGGGATGCTGAGAGGAGCAGAGACCCGAGGGCAGGGCGGCCTGGGAGCCAGCCGGCTGAGCCTCACAGGGAAGCACCACACCCAGGGCTCCCAGCTAATCTCAGGGTCAGTCCCCACTCAGATTCTGCCGGGCTGAGCTGCGACCTGGGTCTACCTGCAGTTTGTAAGGGGTTAAACTAAGCCTGCCCTTGCAGAGGCTGGACCCAGCACAAAGGGAGAAGTGGTGAGAGGTCTCTGGGAGGACAGGCCCAGTGTCTGCGGTCATCCCCATCTTCCCCCAAGAAGGACCTGACATTTGGGGTCCTGGGGTAACATCAGGACAGGCTGTATCAGGTGACATGTAGGTAGGGATCAGTCACTCAGTGCTACTTGGCCCCCGGTCAGCTCTAAGTGCCTGGGATGGAAGGAAGAGGACAGCAAGCCAATCTGCAAAGTCCATTAAGAGCTAAGACTATAATATAAATGAGGCGGGAAACCTGGGTCAGGTCCCAATTCTGCCACGAACAGTAGCGTGTGGCCTTTACCCCAGCCTGCTCTGGGATTCTGTAAAATGGAGATAAATCATATCTACATCAAAATCAGAGTGAAGGATTAAATGGTATCAGTGAAAACAGTAGCACAGTAAAGGGTTCCTTGATTTTTCCTTCTTTTTTTTTTTTTTTTAAGCCCATGAAAATAACCTAGCCTTCCAAACAACAGAGACCTAACTTTTTTTTTTTTTTTTTAAATGAGGTATGGTTACATAAATCATAGCAAAGTCACTTAAGGGAATATAAGCATCTATTCAAAATGAAGGTTAAGTGGCAACATCGAAAACAATACCAACACCGTATCCAAAGGGAGAAACCGAGTCCAAGATACCCTAACCCAACCTGTATGAAAGAGATCCCTGGAGAAAATACTAGAAGGAAATACACCAGAACACCAAGAGTGTCTGAGTTGGGGGGGTGGGGGGCGAGTAGAGCTGGGCTTGCAGGTGACTTTTCCTTTCTAAAGGTTCTAAAAGTATATTACGTTATAAAAATTTGTTTTTATTTCATTAAAAAACATTCCCTGAACCACCGCAGAACAGTTAGGTGTAACAAGAGCCAGGGTATGTGGGGGCGGAGATGTACACGGACAGGAGACCCACACCAGAAGGGCCCTGGGGAAGGGGCGGGCTGTCCTCTCAGGCGCCAGGCTGGACTGGGGAGGTGAGTCGGGGCTGGCCAAGGGTCCACCTCAGCTCCAGCTCAGGTCAGATGGCAGAGATGGCGTGGCCTGGGGCTTGCTGGAAGGGTTGGGGCCTCCAGGCCTCTGTAGCGGTGCTGCATAGGGACCCCATAGCTGCTGTCCAGGGTTCTGTCTTGCCGGCTGTCGCTGTCATCCTCAGAGTCAGCCTCTCAGTGGCGGGCAGAGACCCCAGAAGAAGGTCAGGCAGGAGTGTTTGAGGTCCCTGACACCCTGGCCCAGACCCTCTACCTGCTCCACTTCCACACCTGCCCCGTCCCAGTCCCTGTGGCCTGCAGGAGCAGGCCCACCACACTGCAGCGTTCACAAAACAACAGACTTTAATGGAAATCGCGAAGGAGGGAGGCGCAGGGCAGAGGAGGAGCAGGGACAGCTGGAATTGCCCATGTCATCGCCACATCAGGCCAGACCTGGAGAGTCCTCTGACACCCCCTCCCCTCACTGCACAGCTCTCTGGTCAGTGAGCAGGGTTTCCTTGGCCCCTTGTCCAGCACCCTACCATGCCTGGGGTCTCCCGGGAGCCCTGTGAGGATGCAGGTTGTGTAACCAGAGCTGGGCACAGGGGGACAGCCTAGGCGGGCAGCAGGAAAAGGTGTTGCAGAATGATCCCCACGTTCCCAAGGAAGGGCTGTTTGTTTCCTAGGTTATGAGGGGCAAGGGTGGGAATCAACCACTCCCAGTGTGGGCCTGGTACCACAGAGAAGGGGTAGGCGGGGCTGGTGTCAGCCTGTGAAGGGCAGGTGTGAGCTTCAGTGGCACTTGGTTTTAGGGTCCAGGTCAGGAGTGGGGAGTGGAGTGCCCTACTTGTGCCCAGAGTGGTGCTCATGGGATTGACTGGAAGTTTCCAAACAACCCACATTCTCCGCTGAAGCTTACTGGGCTAAGCTCCTGGTCCACCTGCCCCCCACCCCTAGCCCACAGACCTGAGCCCCCCTATTTGGCCTCCTGTAATGTTCCCACAGCCACCTTCACTGCTTGGAACACAGCCCAGTCCATCTAGGAGGAAGAGAGAAGGGGGGGTTTTCAGTCACACTCCTCAGCCTGCCGGCCAAGAACATCTTTCTGGGCCCTGGTGGCTTGGCAGAGACCTTCCATGCCACCCAGCGGTGCCATGAGGGCACTCGGTCGGCACACCGCCTCTGGCCACCGTCGCACTCACCTGGGCGCAGAGCAGGCGGCGGTCAGGGGGCAAATTGGGTCCCTGGTGGCAGAGCTGAGCAGAGAGGGCAGAGGTCTCAGGGGACAAGAAGTGCTGAGTGACACTCACTGTGCTTACCAGGCCCTGCACCTGTGCCAGGAGGAGGTAGGCAGGAGGGTCAGCAGGGGCTGAAAGTCATGCATCCTCCCTGTCCCCCATCCCCAGGTCCGCTTCCCATCGGCACTCCCACCCAGCTCTCAGGGAGCAGCGCCAGCCACCCCAAAGGGCATGGCCACCAGGCCAGGGGCCCAGCAGAGCCCCTCTGGGTGGGTCAGAGAGCCACATCTGGCTGGATCCCAGTTTGTCTGGCTGGCTTCCAGTGCGCTCAGCCTGGAAGCCTGGGCTTCCTCCTCCCTGTCGTGGGCAGGGCTTCCTGCCAGCCTAGTTCAGGGGTCTTGAGAGGGGCAGGCTAGGGTTAGGGCTAGGGTTAGGGTCAGGGTCAGGGTTAGAATCACAGGGAGCAGAATCACTGTGTCGTGTGTTCTTGCCGCTCTGGATACTCCGAGCTCCCTGCAGAGCCCTGGCCCGCTGGGGAAGCACCTGGTGGGGAGCCCCCGCAGGCACCAGCACAGCTTCTCCTGGGGCCTGCAGCAGGGTCCAGCAGCTCACACCCCACTCCTCACGCAGGCGCCGCCTCAGCCCTGCGTCCAGGTAGCAGCTGCCCGGGGCACCGGGCTCCAGATTGCCTGCCCCGGCCGGGCACACCTCAAAGAAGAGAAGGAGGAATGGTAAGAGGGTGGGCAAGGACAGGGTGGCAGGAGGAGGGGCGTGACCGTCTCGCAGGCCAGAGGGGTAAGGAGTGGCTGCGGCGGTGGAGTCTCAGGGCGCTGTAGGCAGCCCAGGGTTAGAAGAGAAAGGGGCCAGGTGTGAGGGGCCGGGCAGCCCAGCTGGGCAGGACAAAGATTTGTCTGGAAGGAGCTTAGAGGACAGGATGAAGGACTGTTCTCCTGGGGCTGCTGGGGGCTTCTAAATCCCACTTTCCTGGGGCTAGAAGTCTTGAGTAGCCTCTGTGTCTCTAACCTCCTCTATTTCCTCTCTCCAAAACCCAGGAAGATGCCCTCATCACCCCAACTCATAAACCATCTACACTGGAAATTCTTAACCTGAAGTCTTGTGAACATACTGAACTGTGAGCTAAATTACAGGTGTGCAGGTAGATGTAGGTCACTGGGGGGACACCCCAAATTCTAAGATCCCAGATCTGGAGAAGACAAGGCCACCCACAAGTTGTGTTCTCAGTGGATGAACAGGCCTGTCTGTTCTGTCCAGGTCCAGGCCTCTGAGGCAGGCACAGCCCCAGGAACCTGCACAGCCCAGCTAGACAGGGAGCGCCTTGCTGGCACAGCAAAGTGTGAGGACAGGAGGGGGAGCCCAGGGGACACCTGCAGAGGTGAGTGCCAGCATCTGCTCCGACTGGTCACCAGCTCAGTCCAGCTCAGCTCAATTGCTGAGGTTCTGCAATTGTTACCGGGAAGGATGTCCTAAAGGAACTCCGCAGAGTCTTGTAGACTCCACCCCCTACTCCAGTGATTGGAAACTACAACTCCCAGTCACTTTGTATCCCTCTCTCTTTCCCCAGGTTATTTCCTTTTCTTTTCCCCTTCTGTAAATAAATCCACTATTGGCCCTTTTGTGTATGCCTGCAGTACAACTGAATTTCAGACACACGGGTGAGGCCCCACAGACAGGCGGCCCAGTCCACTCTGGGGTGCCCGGTAACACCACTAGGAGCTCAGCAATTAGCTCTGGGCTTTGGGCTCAGGGCCCCAAGACTGGACTGTGATGAGAGGGGGAGGCTGGTGAGCCAGGGTGGGCTGCCCCAGGCAGGGGCCAAGATTCCTTTGTTCTCAGAAGTTCAGTCCATCCTGGAGCTGGAGCACAGTGTCCCAGGCCACCCATGAAAATATGCCCCTTAGCCTTCCGCATGAATCATCGGTTTGGCCACACGGGCTGCCCACAGCCTGCCACACCCAGCCCAGACGAGGCCATCTGTGTATGAAAGTTCGCTCTGGCTGCTCTCCTCTGCGTGTGCATCTGCACATCAGTGTGTGTGTGGCGGGGGCAGGAGGGGGAACACCTGCTTGTGGGCAGAAGGCTGGTGGGACCCCCATATCGACCTTTAGCAGGGGAGGTGCTGGGGCACCGTGTTACTGCAGGACCATCAGGGCTCAGCTGGACTTTGGAACCACTGGGCCTGTGTAACCTTAAATGGCCTCAGGCCTCCCCTGGGGCTTCTTGCCTTCTGCTCACCCCCCTCTTCTCCTTCTCCTGCCCCTCACCCTGTTCCAGTCTCCTCCTTGACCTCCCCCAGTGCCTCACATGGAAAGGGGAGCGTTTGCCTTTCTGCCAGCCTCCCTGGCCCCCCTAACCTCCACACCCTGGATCCTCTGCGGGGAGGCTGCCTGGCTCCAGGGGGGGAATGGCACAGTGGCCTGGGGAAGGGACAGCCGTAAACTCAAAAATCCAGCTCTACCACTTAGCTTCAGTTTTCTCAGCTGCAACATAGGGAAACAGCAGAACCCACGTTCTGGGTCGCTGCGGCAATCAGCTGAGAGCATGCACCTGGGCCCTCAAACGCACGGTGCCTCCTCGGCTTTGCTTCCCTTCCTGAGGTCCCGCCTCAACCCTCCTGCTCTTCTGAGCACCCACCTCTCAACTTCTATAAGGTCCCAGTCTGCTGTCTCTGCAGTGGACATGTGGGGGTGTCGGGGGAGTGGGTCATGGGGCCAGGAGGTGAATCTTTTCCATGGGGTGCACACACAGAGGGAGAGTTTCTGGGGCTGGGAGCGCCCACTTCCAGGGAGGGTGAGGGCTGTGCAGGGGAAGGGGAGGGCTCCAGACCCCTCCTCACCATCTGGAGAAAGCGGCGGATTCGCTGGGCGTCCTGAGCCCTGAACACGTGCCACACGGTGCTGACCTGGCTGCCTGGAGACCAGAGCCCCTCCCCATCGAGGCCGGAGAGGAAGTCTGAGGAAGAAAGCCGGCTCGGAGTGAGGGCAGAGACACCCCCTCGCAGCTGCAGCTTGTCCACCCCAGGCTCCGACCAAGGACCCACCTTTCTGTGCCCGGTGCCAGGCAGGCAGAGGGGCTTCAGCACATACCAGGACGCTAACCAGGTCAGTCACCTCCACACAGAGGTTCTTGATGCCCTGGTGCCCACGGTGTGGGCTCACACCTGCAAGGAGGTGGAGAAGGGACCCTTGGAAGGAGACAGGAATGTACCCAGAGGTGGCAGGAAAGGGGGGTAGGGAGGGACTTTAAGTTTCTGGTCTCAGGGAGGACTGGAGTGGCTGCTCACCGTAGGCTGCCCACAGCTGGGGCTCCAGTGGACGCAGGACAGGGCCCGGTGGGAGGTAGGAAGCCAGGTTGAGTTTCCCCTGTCTGGCACAGTACTCTGGGAGGGGCAGGCTGGCAGCCAGATTCTCCACCCTGTGGGGGGAGGGGCAACACCCAGCAGGCTCAACCCAGCGCCAAAGCCTCCCAGGACTGAGGTCCCGACACCAGTACTGAGTTGAGGGTCACGGTGGGGGAGGGGCGGCCATTGGGGGAAGGATGGCAAGGGGCCAGGAAGTATTGGGGAGGCTGTACCCCACACACCTGCTGGTGTCCTCGTCGCCCAGATCTCTGTGCAGCAGGAGGACAGAGCCTTCTTCGGACTTGGGGCGAGCTAGGGAGAGACACAGAAAGAGCCCTGGACAGAGGCCCCTGGCGATGGCAACAGGGTCTGGGTTCTGCTCCAGGGCTGCTCCCAGCTGCCCTGAGGTCACTCTGGACTCCACTGCCACCAGACTCAAGCTCCCAGCTCCCTCACCCCATGCCAGGCACACTTACTTTCCGGCCTTGAGAATCCCTCCCAGAAGGTTTCACTGCCAAGGCTTGTGGGCTGTGGAGGCCCGAGGGGGTTCAACACCTGCACCTGGCCTCCAAGGGCCCCAAGGGCTTCTGTCCCCCACAGGTTGCCTTGCAATGTCCTCTGAATCCCTGACACCAACACAGGCTGTAGCGGGGAAAGGAAGGACACGTTGGAGGGGACATCTGTTTGGGTCGAAGGGCCCCGGGCCTTGCGCACGTTGGCAAGACTGTGAAAACTGGGAGGCTCACCTGGCCCTGCCTCCAATGTTCCTGGAAGAGGTGAAAGCCACGCCGAGGCCTGGGCTCCTGCAGCCACAGCAGAGCCCCAGGGGGAGGCACCCGGGTCCGCACCGGGGAGAGGGGCAGACCCAGGCCCTTGCGCAGGCCAGGCGTAGCCCGCAGGCCCGGGCCCAGCGCTTTCTCCTGGATCTTTCGTTCCACTACCTGCGCGATGATACTGTCCAGGATGTTGGTGATACGGTCATCCTGCCGGGAGGGGGGCGGAGGGGAGCCAGGGGCTCAAGACCCACAGAGAAGGCTGGCCCAGCCCTGTGCCAGCCCCCAGCCCTCCCTCTCCACCCTCACTCACGCTGGGCAGGGCCGGGGTGACAGGGGCAAAGGCCATGTGTATCCGCTCATGCCCCAGGCAGAGTTTGACAGCGGTAGAGGCCAGCAGTTCGCAGAGAGAGGGGCAAGGCAAGGGCCCTCGGCTGGCGCGGTCTTCTGCTGGGGGCTCTGTGGAGTCTGGGGCCTCTGTCGGGAGGGGAGAAGGTGCGAGACCATGGCAAGGCGCCCTTATCCACTCGCTTCCGCAGGTCTGCTCTCTGGACGTGCCCTCTTCACCTCTGTTCGGTCCCCTCCCACCCTTTCCCAGAGGAGGGGCTCAGAGGGGCTTGTTCTGGGTTTTATTTAGATTTCTTTTCTCTGGAATAATTTAAGAATGATTATGAGGGTGAGGGTTGGGTAAAGCAACTGCACGCTCTCGGTTCCCCTGCTGCCTCGGACCCTCCCTGCCCCCCCCCCCCACCGTCCCCTGCCCCACTTAGAAGGGCAGGTGTCCACTTACCCTCTTTGGTGTCCTTGGTCCTGTTGGCATCCCCATTGCAGGAAGGTTGTGGAGTTGGGGATGTTTTTTCTGTCGGCTCCTTCTGTTCAATCCAACCCCACCCCCAACCCAACCAGAACTTTAAAAACGGCAAATACAACACACTCTAATTCAACCCACGAATGTTTAACCATGGTCTCCTGTACACCCCCAAATCGTGTTTATAAGGGGCAACATGTATAACGCTAGGTGGAGAAAAGCTGTCTGTGGAATTCTCCAGACAGTACCGTCTGGCACTGGAGTTTGCAACGACGGAGAGGGACAAGTGACCGGTGAGAAATATGTCAGAATGACATTGGGGGCGCCATAGGCCCCCCCAAATTCTGTGCTTTCCAAATTCTCCTCCATGGGCATATAATATGACCCAAAATGCATTCAGTGGACTATTTTTTGAATGAGTGACTTTTATGACCTCCATAAAATCTCTGAAATGCACAGTGCGTGTGCACTGTGTCAGGGCAGGGGCCCAGGAGCGGCCAGTGTGCAGTGCAGACCCTGCCGCCCAGGGCAGGCAGGTCTGTGTCATGTGGGAAGTCCCACACGAAGTGGGCAGGAGCTCGGGGCAGGGAGAGAGGGCTTCACTGAGTGGGGGGAGGCGAGGCAGATGCCGGTGCTTCTTCCCAGGGAAGGTGGGAAGAAGCCTGATGTCACTCAGCTTCCACGTCCCTCCTCATCGCCATCAAAGGGGAAGGGCCAAGCCCTGCAAAGGTCAGTGCAGGGCAGGCACATGCCAGATCCCCACATGCTCTGCATCTGTTCCATGCCCCGCGTCTCACCTGCTGGCCCCCATCCCCAGGGGCCCACGCCCGGACATCAGCTTGGCAGGGGCAGTGTCCCCGGATGTCGAACTTCACCCAGACCTGGTGCATTGCCGTGCTCAGTTCTGCCAAAGCTGTGAGCAGGGAGGGGAGATGGAATGTGGTGGTAATAGGAGTCTGCCCCATGCAGCTGGGACTCGCCAACCAGGAACGCATGGAATCGGGCTGAGGGACACCAGGCAGGATGCCAGCCTCCCCGGGGCCTTGCCCTCTGCAAACCCTGCCTCCCCAAGATGGCTCACCCTGGCTGGAGATGAACTGGGTGAGCCTCAGGGAGCAAGCACTGTGCCCGGCCTCCTGGCTACACTCATCAGTGGACTGTTCCTGAGTGCCTGTGAGGCAGGAAAGGAGAAGTGGCAGGTTGAGGGATCAAGGTAGCATGCGATAAGGTCAAGGAAGGATCAGGGCTTGATCCAAGTCGGGGGACTCATACACGAGCTTTCTGGGAACTTGGATAAATCCTGACATAGGATTCTTTGCCTGTGGAACGTAGAGCCTTTAATATGCTGATATGCGTTGCAAGACTCCAAGGTAGTGATGTGGAATAGCATGTTCCAGAATGTTCCTGACCCTGGACTGTTTTGGCCAAGATATTGGAACACTGGGAAATTTCAATCCTCAGATGACAGAGGTGAGCCAAGGGAGAGAGAGCTAAGAACCATAAAAAGAACAGGATTTGGAGTCCTGGGTGACTTAAATCTAAACCCTCACCCCAAGGCTTATTAGCTGTGTGACACTGAACTAGTCACTTAACCTTAGTTTTTCTTATCTGGAAAATGGAGTCAACAAATACCCACCTCGCAGCGCTGTAAGGTTTAAAAAGGTGCAAGATGAGCCAAGTGGGAGGCTTAGAGTAGCACTCGGCTTCTGCTAAGAGTGGGGAGGACACAGGCATGGCCTTCTGATCTGGGGAGAGGGAAAGGTCTGCTCGGAGGAGCATTGAGCAATGGAGGCTGAGGCTGGGGCTGCAGAGTGGGGAGGCCATCTGGGGACAGACGGCCCAGAAATGACCACAGTCCTTTGAGCAGCCTTTCTGAGGCCCCGCCCTTGGCCCCTCACCCTCGGCCCCTCGCTCCTTCCTACCTGCTCTCTCCCTGGCCCTCCCAGCTCCCAGCATACGACCACAGGCCACACAGAGCCGGTGGGCACAGCGCGGGCATCTCCAGTGGGTGTTGAAGAGTCCATGGTGGCAGCGGCTGCAGCAGTGTGGAATGTCTGGATTGTCCTCTGTCCTGGCTGGCCCCTGGCCTGCTGACCATGGAGAAAAAAATGTCAGACGGGGTTCAAGCCATGGGCCCTTTTAGAAACCTCATGTGGGAGGCTTCCAGGCAGAGATGGAGAGAAACAGGAGCAGGTTTCCCCGAGGGGTCGCCTGGCAAGCAGCAAGGCCCCTAGGAGCACCCACTGACCCCCTCCAGGGGCAGTGCAGGTCTCCTCCACTCAGCCCCGCACATGCATTTCCCGTCAGCCCTGAATTACCAGTTCACATCATTTCCAACACATCTCTTCACCCACCTCCCCCTGAGGTAGTATTTCTGCGGTAGTACAGAGGGTATGTGAGAGGCTGCTCCTCTCTGACCCAGAGCTCAGCCTGAGCCCCCTGCTGGGTGAAGAACACCTTTGAGTTCAGCCAACACCGTGGCCTGTCCAGGCTGGGTGCTGGTCAGGACTTGGCCCTCCCAGAGCTCCGCTACAAGGCACAGATGGAGCCGTAGTCGCGGGGAGCCTGCAGCGTGAAGCAGCATGGAAGGGCATGGGTGGGAAGAGCAGGGGCCGCTTCAAAGACGGGTCCCAAGTGATGAGTGAGTTTCCATTCACCACGTAGAAAGGGACGCGAGGGCCTTCCAGGCAGAAGGGGCAGCGTGCCAGGGCCTGAGGGGACGGACAAGCTCGGGTGAGCCAGCCGGGGATGGGCAGGCAGCTTGCTGGGAATGCAGGCAGAGGAGGTGGCAGGGGCATTCTGATGCCCAGGGAGGGGCCCTCGACTTCCCACCTGGGGAAAGAGGGAGCCGCCAATGGGCCCCCATCAGGGAGACAGGACTGCAGGTGTGTGTTTTCTGAGACCGTCCTCGTGGTCTAGAAGGGGAATCCAAGAAGCACCCAGAAGCCTGGCGCACCTGGCCTCCGGCGCCCGTCCTAACGCCACCAGCTGCTGGGTGGCCGTGAGCCTCACCCCGGGAAGCCTTCCTTACTGCTCCTCCAGGCAGCAAGCTCACCTGGCCTCCGACGCCCGTCCTAACGCCACCAGCTGCTGGGTGGCCGTGAGCCTCACCCGGGAAGCCTTCCTTACTGCTTCCTCCAGGCAGCGAGCTCCGGCCAATACTTGGCCCTCTCAGTCTTGTTTTCCCAACAAAACTCCTAGGCGTTGGGCTGGACTGGGCTGGGCTTTACACCGTCCCAGCAGCTTCCAACACAAACCAGAAGCTTCAGAACACGTGTTGACTAAGAGCCTAAGCCAGGAAAAGGGTCAAAGCCTTGGGGCGGGTATGTTCCTGAGCGAGCAGAGGGACAGCATGCCTGGCAGGAGAGAAAACAAGACTCTGCGGGCCCCATGCTCCCAGTGAAAGCCCAGCCACCACAGGGCCAGACACTTCTGGGGTCCCTGATACCCCGTGGGGCTGCTCACCTTCCCGTTGGGCCCAGGCCAGAGCCTCTCGCTCCCTCCGCAGCAGACGGCACAGTCGATCCCCCAAACCACTTAGCAGGTGCTTGGCGAGGCCCTTGCTGAGTTGGGCCTCTGCAGGGCTGACTGCTGGGTCTTCCTCCTGCTGCTGTTTTCCTCCCGGAGGCAATCTGGACACAGGGCAGAGAAGGTGAGGCGAGAAGCACGAGTGGCAGGCTGCTCGGGCATCCAGGGGTAAGGGCTCACCTCGGCACTGGTTGGGAGTGGCAGGCCAGCCCTCCCGCCTCCCCAGCTGCCTGGCCACAGCTTTGGCATTGAGTGATGCCCGCCAGAGAGGTCACGCAAGTTGTATCCTGAAGTCCGGGGTCCTGGAGACCGGCCCTGCCATCTCGGGGTCCTGAAGGGACAATGTAGCCGGTCAAGAGTCTGGGCTTCCTGGACTTATGTGAACCCCAGGTCCAGCCTCTGCACCCAGCCTGTCCACACACACAGCCAAGCCAGCTCAGCCCCTAGGCCCAGGTCTCTGAGACCTGATTCAGAACAGCAAGACCAGACCAGGCAGCAAGAGGCTTCACATAAAAGACTGAACGGGAAGCCTGAGGAAACCTTAACACGGACTGAGGGGCCGAGAGGAGAGGCCTGCTGTGCGGGCCTGAGGCAGGGCTAGCTGAGGTGGCTTTCCTGACTAGTGCGGAGCCAGTCAGTGTAGATGGTGCGTAGCTCCGCCGTGGCATTGGAGACATGACTGGCTGCCTGACAGTGTACGGAGACAGTCCCAGCGAGGACGGAGAGTCTCAGCTGCAAGGTGAGAGGCTGGTGAGTTTCAGCACAGGCCACAGGTGCCATAAACCCAAGAAGGCAGGTTGGCCAACAGCTCTCCAGGCAGACAGAGGCCTGGGAGAGCATCACAGACCACACCAGGTGCAGAAGTGCTTGAGCAAGTCTGTGGTGAGGCCAGATCCAGGCCCATCGTCCAGGAGGCCAAGAAACTGAAATGATCCAAAGAAGCGAGGCTAGGATCCAGCAGTGCCAGGACCCTACGTGAAGGACACAGTGTGACAGAGGGGTCCGGGATGTGCCCAACGGCCTCAAGCTGGCAGAGTCCAAACTGAGTTTCCATGAGTTCGCTGAACAAGAGAGTGGTTGTTTGTTCCTGAGGCAGGACAAGGGGTTCTTCAGGAGAGGCATTGCTCCAGACGGGGATTTGTGGCACAAATAATCACAAAGGCAAACATTTGTTGAGTGCTTACGAAGAGCCAGGAATTCTTCAAGGCCCTTTCTGTGAATTGTGTCATTCATCTCGCGGCAGTCTCTGAGGCAGGTGCCCTCGTATCCCCATCTCACAGATGGAGAAACTGAGCTCCAGCGGGACGAAGTCACCAGCGAAGGTCACGCAGCTACCGTCAGCAGTGAGGAGCTGGGTGCTCTCAGACTCCAGAGTCCAGCTCCCAGTCAGGCCATCATGCTGTCCCCAACACACCATTGCTCAGAGGAGGCATGTGGAACTTGAAGCCACTTGCAGGAGGCTCTGGCCTGCAGGAGCTGAGCAGCTGCCAGCTCCCAGAGCCATTGCAGCCAGGAGGAAAATCTGACAGCTGGTGTGATGCGCTTACAAAGGACCTATAGCTTCCCTCAAGGTTCCCGGCTGGTTGTCCCCCCC